ATACTAAACAGATCATGCATTGCAGCATCCCATAATCCCCTCTGTTTCCGCCCTGTTTAAAAAGTGCTGATTCTGTCTATACTTTAGATGAAAATAAGGAGCCACTCCCCACGCCCCTCTGAGAGATATTTGGTTAAAAAGAACACAATGGTGCTCTAGGAGGAGATTCAGGAGATAAGGTGGGGGGGGTTTACCTTGGTTGGTTATTGGCTAATGGTTACACAAGCCAAAACATTGTTATGACCAGGGGTGCACATAACTTTTTTTCCCTGGTTCGCAAAGGAGCACCTGGAGATGTTGCTTGCTGCTCATCCTTAAAATGAAATAAACCGTACCTTTTTGAGGGGTACTTGACTTTATGAACGGGGGGGGGGGGAGGTGCGCTAGTGAGCACGCTCATGAACTGTTAGCCCGTGCCTCGCAGCAGGGTTACTGTACGAAGCGCATAAAGCAGACCCTTCACGCGATAGCGAGGGGTAGAGCGAGGGATCGCAGATGCCGTCGCGCTCGCGGACGGATTAAAAAAAATAATAAACCTAAATGGCTTGAAAATTATACTTTGGCGGCCGTTAATATACCTGGGCGGCCCGCCCAAGTAAAGTCTATGTGTGGGAAACCCTGCTATCATCAGTTCTTATGCAACTTGCAAATATCTCTCTCTTTTCTCTCACTCTCTTCTCTCATCTCTCTCCTCTCATCTCTCTTTTCTCCCTGAGACTTTTAGAATGTCTTTACACAGAGGGGACACATGTTTATGTATAAAATATGTGAAAAAGTGGGTTTTGCATAATAGGTCCCCTTTAAGTTATCAGAGAAACAGGCTGAGACTGGGGAAGCATTAAACATGAAGCAGTCTAATTCAGCATTTTTAACAGTTTTTAAACACTGGGTTTGATTTCCAGGTAGAAACTTTTAGACAAGGAACAATGAAGGAAGCCCAATTGGTAGAAAATTACATATTCTGTGTTTAATAGGAAAGTGCTTGAATCACTTAGTACTATGTTTTTTGAAAGACAACAATTATCAAGAGATAATTGTTTCTATTCATCAAACATTTAAAGTTGTACTCAGGTGAGCCGTAACCTGGCCGTCTGCCAAAACTGGTTTGAGCTTGGATTAAAATTGGAGATGGTTAGATTTAAGTAACATGAGATTTAAGGATGTCAGTAAGCAGCTCAGCAAATATTTGCAAAGCCCTTTTCAAGTGTGACTGATCCTCTAGAACCAGTTTTACTTGGTTTGGGAATATGCTCCAGCACTGGCCCCTGTTGGTGGAACAGCCCTAAGAGAATGACAGCAGACAGAAGAAGGACCCAGGGGTGTAGGAGCTGTTTGCAGCCAGTGGGTGTAGCCCGGGCGTGTAGACGGCAGGAGGAGAGAAGGGGCAGGCCAGGACTCGGTGGCCAGGCTTGGTGCTACGTGGTCGGCCTGGTTTTTCCCCACGTTTCCTTCCCTGCACTGCGTAATGAATGGCTTCCTACTGGTCTGTGGCCGTGGCCCCGGCTTAAAGAGTATACTTACCAAGGCTCAGAATACACACCCCAGCCAGCCAGCCTGTGTCCCGGCCTCCGTAACACTCCCCACTACCAGTCCACCTGCTGCAAACTGGCCCAGTCACACACTGTCACATCGGCCACAATGAGAAGAATGATTTGGTCTTCAATGGGAAACATTCTTCTTGGGAATTCTTTAACATTCCCTGTAACTGTTAGACACTGCGCAGTCACTGCTGGTGTTTACGTACCCGCCTGTTTGCACCACAGGGGCCAGAAGTCAAGTGACGGGAAGGATGGTTGTCTAGAGGGCGGGGGGGTGGTATGTTTATTGTCTAGTGAAATTATAGTGAGTCAGTTTGTGAGATTAATGTTTGATATTAAAATGTTCATGCCTTTGGCTGTTTGATCCAACTGTATGTTTTGAAACAGGACTTTGCAGGGTCATTTTTGGAGAGAAGCGATCTGACAGACTCGAAAAAATGATCGATAATGAAGACATTTGAGTCTTTATCGATTATTTTTTTGTCCATTGATCGATCAAACATTTAGTAATGAAAATATCAGAAAACAGTAACAAACCTGCTGTCCAGTTTTCAGAGTGATATTTTCAAATATCTTGTTTTGCCAAAACCCAATGATTTTCACATTGATATGATTTAAAACAGAGAAAAGTAGAAAATATCCACATTTGAGTGTCTGAAATCGTAATATTCTGCCATTTTTGCTTGGAAAATCACTTTTAATGATGATGTATTATCAAAATATCATCTGTGGATCAACATATCTAGCAGTTCCAATCATGGCTCATGTATAAATGTAATAGGTCATAATTCTCACATGTATATCAATTCAAGAATGTGTGTATTTGTGTGTATGCAGGTGGTGTTTCTGCTGCGCTCCTACCAGACTGACTCTCACAGACCCCTGCCAGCAGGAAATGGCATCACCCGAGGCCTCCGTCAGCGCATGTGGCTTGCTTCTCGGTAATCCTAGACGCACGCACACACACACACACACACACACACACACACACACACACACACACACACACACACACACACACACACACACACACACACACATGCACAGATAAGCATTCCTCCCGCCTTCCCAACTCTAACCAGAAGAATAGCTCCTTGTCTCACCGTTCATCCCCTCCCTTGCCGTGTCCGCTTCATGTCCTGCCCAGGCTTCCATTTCAAAGCGAACCGCCTGCTGTCCCATCCGCAGACCCCCCATCCCTCCTTCCTCCCCCGCCTTGTACCCCTACCCCTCCTGGCCAACATCGAGGCCTCAAGATGGGGCACAGATTACCCCCTCCTGCCCGACCTAGGTCAGGCCGGGGTCTCTGGCCTCCCCTGTGCTGCGGCCCTCAGCAGATAACACAAGGTCGCTAGGTTAGCAACACTAGCCCCGCTAGCTCCGCTTGGCTGCACTGATGAGCCTTTATTAAGATGACGAGGTGAATTCTTGCTCAACGGAGCGAGCCCGGCGTCTGTCCGTTTGATCATGCTGCACCACAGAGCCCAGATCTAAGGACAACGCAGGTCAGAGGATCTCTGTTTTTTATAGGAAAACCTCTCGTCTCTTCCAGAACACCACTAATTTGAAACGGCCACCTTCCAAAAAGTTTCGGAATGCATTGTTGGTCTGCTCTGAGTCAGTGTTGGGTTTTGGCCTCACACCGTCTCTGTGTTGTGTCATTTTGGACTTTTTCTGGCTCCAAGAGGATGTCAGCTATATCCACTAAATCCATATATTACATTACATGTTATTTAGCTGACTCATTTATCCCAAACTTTCATGCACTTCAAAACTGTAGACAGGCCTACGCGAGCAATTTGGTAACTTGCCCAAGGACACTTTGATTTGTTCATTACAGGGGGTGGAGTCGAACCGCTGACCTTCTCATTAGTTTAAACATATTGACCACCTACGCAACAATTGCCCAAATAGTGACCAGTTAGGTTCAGTAAAGTCGGAGCTATGGAAAATGTAATCCTCAACCTTTGATTAATATAGTAGCTTTTTTACCCGTCAGTGTCCCTATGCTACATGTTATGAACTTGACACATTTTAATTTAACATTTTGGAATATAATCGTTATATGCTCTGGATAGCACCTAATTATCTATCCTCTGTGAGATTTCTATAATTTTGTTTAGCATCAGCACAGCAGCTTTATGCACCTTTACCTGCAAAGGAATTTATTTATTTTTTAATTAAAAACACCTTTTAAGGTGGGAAACTAACAATTTATATTTAAATGTCGAGAGCCACCAATTTCCCAACAGCTAGCTAGATATCTAACATTCACTCGTTTGTTAGATATATATCAAATATTAGCTAGCCTGTAAAGTACAAAGCTAACTTTCGCTAGATAGATGGATGGATAGATAGATATGCGTTTGAACCGGAAGTAGGAAAAGGGGCGGGGTTACATAATATAAATAATGTTTCCTCACATTTATACATAGATGAACATGCTTCACAGGACTCATCCTTGCCCAATATATTTTCACACATTAATATCAGACTTTAAAAAATCTGACGTCAAGCTCACACACAGTGTCCCTTGTTTTCCCCCACACACACTTATGGGCTTTTACAGCGCTGTTGGAACGCACCCTCGATTGAACGCACACTGAACAGAACACACTTCGCACTGCCCACACACGCTGCTCCACTTAACCTGGTGTATAACACTTTATAGCAAATCATATTATGATAACAATACCTTTATATCATGATAAAGCCAAAATAGTCATAGGTTTTATAGTGAATCAATTATTCAACATTGATATTTTTGGAGGAAATTATGAAAAGGAGCCTTTGATTTGTCATATGCGTGTGAAATAATCAAATCTGCGATGGTGCCGCTGGGGTCTTATCATGTGATGGTCCCACATTGAGGACGGACCACAAACAAAAACAAACAGAACAACTAAATGCTGTCCTGTTCTGCATCGACTCAGCTCAGCCAGACTTTACAGTAATGTTTTGTTTTTGTGTTACACATGTAAATCTTAAACTCTTATTTGTTATCCAATCAATACCACATGCAGTAACCAACAGGAATCAGGCTGAAGCCAATATTTGGTACATTTATTTTTTATGTTACTGTACTTTTGTATGAATAATACCTTTTAATTAACCATGAACAACTCATGGGGTTAGAAGTTGGAGTTATAGGAAATGCTTGGATCACTTGAGTCGGAAACAATGATACGCAGCCACCACTAGAATACAATTCCTCAAAGAACATGAAATTAATAAAATAGGTGTAGCAACTCCACAGTGGCAAAGCCCCGGGGGTGGATGAGATCCGCCCAGAAATGCTGAAGGCTCTGGGTGTTGAGGGACTGTCATGGTTGACGTGTCTCATCAACGTTGCGTGGAAGTCGGAAACAGTACCGAAGGAGTGGCAGACCGGGGTGGTGGTTCCCCTTTTTAAAAAGGGGGATCAGAGGGTGTGTGCCAATTACAGAGGCATCACACTACTCAGCCTCCCCGGGAAAGTTTACTCTAAGGTACTCGAAAGGAGGGTCAGGCCGATTGTCGAACCTCAGATTGAGGAGGAACAATGCGAATTCCGTCCCAGTCGTGGAACGACGGATCAGCTTTTTACTCTCGCAAGGATCCTGGAGGGGGCCTGGGAGTACGGTTATCCGGTCTACATGTGTTTTGTAGACTTGGAGAAGGCGTATGACCGAGTTACTGGTGGAGGTTCTGCGGGAGTATGGGGTGAGGGGGTCTCTATTCAGGGCCATCCAATCTCTGTACTCCCAAAGCGAGAGCTGTGTCCGGGTCCTCGGCAGTAAGTCGGACCCATTTCCGGTGAGGGTTGTCCTCCGCCAAGGCTGCGCTTTGTCACCAATCATGTTTGTAATATACATGGATCGGATTTCGAGGCGTAGTCGTGGGGGAGGGGGTCTGCAGTTCGGTGGACTAAGGATTGCACCACTGCTTTTTGCAGATTATGTGGTTCTGATGGCTTCATCGGTCTGCGACCTTCAGCACTCACTGGATCGGTTCGCAACCGAGTGTGAAGCGGCTGGGATGAGGATCAGCACCTCCAAATCTGAGGCCATGGTTCTCAGCAGGAAACCGATGGACTGTCCACTCCAAGTAGGGAATGAGTCCTTACCCCAAGTGAAGGAGTTCAAGTATCTCGGGGTCTTGTTCTCGAGTGAGGGAACAATGGAGCGTGAGATGGG